TACTATTTGTAAGAACTGAGTGGACCGTCGGCGAGTATATAGACTGATTACCCTAAGGTATCTAACACTTAATACGAATTTTTTTCAGGAAAACTGAGGAATTTATTTTCTCTAAACTGACGTTACGAACTTAGTGTATAGTTAATATGCTTCAAATACGTTAAATAAAAACATTTTAGAGTAGTTAACTCCACAGTCAAGTCATGAAAATATATACAGTTAAAATGCTTAAAACGAAGTTGAGTAGAAAGTATCGTCTACTTAAACTGTTTTCAATCTCACAAAATCTGATATACAGTATGTTCGAACATTTACAAGATCTTGTAAATTTCACATCATGGTATACTTCTAGATGAAAACCTGAAGGTCCTATTGGTGATATGTTAGTTTTTGTGAACTCGCGAATCCTTACATACCCTGTAATTAGAACTTCATACAGAGATGAATCCAGGAAAATAATCTATAGGCATATCACGGAAGAAATGTGAAACTTCTGTTGGCCCTAAGTTAAACCCCACTCAACACAAACAACCAATTTTTGGACATTTATCATTATGTCAACTTTATTTATTATACTTTGACAGACGGTGAAGTAGTAAAATGTCCTGAGGACGGGCCTAAAACTCTTTATATATATATAGAGTCATCTACACAGTGGCTATTCTCATAGTTCCGCTGAATGAATCTGACAGTTAACAAGTCTTGTTATGCGTTGATTTTGGCCAGGTTTTCGGACATATTAAAAGATAATGACAATTTTTTCACCGTTTTTAATAGTTTGATAAACAAGTTGCTCTAAGTTACACTTGTTCTCTAAGCACGAATTCAGTTTGGTGAACGTTGTAACAGTAAATTTTGTACCACCAGACTAATTTAATTCAGTCTCATCAAAGATTGAGGTAAAGATATTTTAATACCTATCTATTTAAAACGTCAAACGATAGTCTGAAATCCAAGTTAAGTTGACTTAATCGTGAAAATTTGTTTAGATAATGACCAATTGTAATCTTATTGTACAATATATGTCAAAAATAATCAATTGAACCTTCATGTAATAATATTTAGAAGGACTTTATAGTAATAAATTCCATAAAAGTCAGTAAGACAAGTATTTTTTTAAGAAACGAAACCAACTTACTAAATAAAGTTATGTGATAATAGAATAGTATAGGTAGTCACAATAATCTATTTCATGATTTGACATATTACAGGTTCATTAAAATTCAGGGTGATTTTTAGATTAAACAATGGTTAAAACTAAAGAAGAAATAGAGCTATTTGTCTAGATATTTTATTATTATTGTTGACTGATTTGGCAACAGTTAGTTGAGTTTCACTTGTTTTATAACTTATTTATAACTTGTTTGTAACTTACCTAAACGCTGATTATTTTCTTCATGTATGCAAACTGATGTTTGACCTGTTCCATTAATGTTTGGTACCGGCTAAAAGGAGAGAAAAGGACATTAAAACGCACTGTAAATAAATTTTTTAAAGATACAAATATAAATGTCTCAGAATCATAAAACACGTACGACTGAGTGGTGCAAGAAAAAATCCCATAGGCTTGAATTATCAATGTTATTTAATTCGATGACAGTTATTTAGGCTCGTAGTAGTAAACTTCGCTCACCCCAGGTCAACTTTACTAACTGTGCATACAGATTGATTCATAAGCGTCTCTGACCTATATCTGTGATTATTAACTACTGACAATCCCTTCAAGGGTTTACCTCACAAATCATTTATTCCAACATTTCACCGTAATCAACAATTTTACTTTCAAAAGAGAACTATGGTTAAATACCATCACTCTCGCGTTGGACTACAAAGTGCGCAATCAAAATTTTTAATAAAAGTAACCAAGATAATAGTAATTGAATCTTGGCATTGTTAAATAATCTGTAGTTAAAGGCCAAGGAAATTTCTTCAAAAGAGAATGAAGCAACTCTGTTTTTTTAATGCAAACTGTCAATTCAGTCCTTAACTTGATACTATAAGGTGAACTAAAGCCTGCTGTAGGTTGAGCAAATTACCAATATATTTGTTATGTTCTATATATATATATATATATATATATATATATATATATATATATATATATATATATATATATATATATATATATATATATATATATATAATACGTTAGTCACTAATACCACTAGTTAGTAAGAATTAAATTTTCTTTGGATCTTCAACAGTATTAAATGTGTACAGTAAAGATGGTAGTTTATTACCTGGAACAATGCACACCCATCATGTAATTTACTATCACCTGCCAAAAATTCACGCTCTTGATGATTTGTTACATGTTGTTTGTCTGGTTCAATACGCTGCTGATACAGATTCATGTTACAGTAATTATATGCATTGTTATATGATGCACACTGAGCACGTGTCAGATCAAAGTAATCACACCATGGACCAGTTGGTTCTTTTCTGTAGAAAACAAATAAATGAACTAAAATTGTTCAGTATATATTTTTGGTAAAAACAATTTAATTATCCAATGAGAATTAATGAATATATAGAGCTAATATAGTGGATAATCAACCGAAGTAATCGAATCTCGCAGGGTGCGGGATCGTGGATACGCACTGATGAGGAGTCCGATACTAGGACGAAATGACCGTCCAGTGCTTCCAGGTTTTCCATGGTGGTCTAGCTTCAATTGACTTACAATTTATTTGTATTTAAATCATAATAAAAGATTTTCAATCCAATAAATTCATTATAAATACATTTGATAAGATATTTCATAAAAACAGAGTGTAAATACTTAATTGAATTAAGTTTAAAGTAATTGCATTAGATTAACTAAACATTTAGCTAACATATGTAAACAATTTAAAATCCAGATTAAGCTGTTGCGTAAATCAAGTTTCCTCAAAATTTTTACTCATTACTGGTTTGTGTAATACAAAAGCAAGATATATATATATATATCAGTTAAAACAATAATTTTGTTCTTATCTTATCGATAATACCACTGACTACGTTTGGCTTATAATACTTAAATGGTTGTATAAGAGGCAACCTGGGATTATTGCCAGAGCTTAAAGTCTGATTTTCTAATCAATACTGAATCTTACTGACCTTACGCCTTTTACCCTTCGTGAAGGGCATTTCCATTCTTAATTAAAAATTGTGAATTCATACGTTCCATTGACCATATAAATACAAAGTGTAAAAAAATATCATTTTTTGACACACTAATTACCGGGATCTTCTTATGGCCATATATTCAGAACAACTTTTTGTAATAAATTCACATCCTAAATTTTTCCCCCATTTCCAGTTTCCGGCCATCTTATGATTGACGTCATACCACCTGGTATAAGAAATTATAAAACAGAAATGTAATACTGTCAAAAATAATAAATAAATAGAGTTCATTTGTGATGTTTGCTACTGATATCAACAGATATATATATATATATATATATACTATGTATCGCCAATAGAAAGTAAGATGCCTGGTGGCGGAAGATTAAGAAAATTGAAGAGAAAAGAACGAGAACAGAGAGTGATTGATATGGAAACGAAGGAACGATCAAGTTCGAAACGGCTGATTAACATTTTTCAAGTGAAGTATTTACTGTATGGTTCTCAGATTTTACTAAGATATTCTGTAGTGTTGCATTGGAATAGACTTCTTTGTCCCCGACTTGTGTTCTCGTTAACTACACACTTAGATATATAGTACGTAAGAAATAAAGTCTACATGTCCTTTAACCTTAGTTCATAATTTAACAGAATTATGAAGCATATAAGTACTTCACAAACGACTTAGAACATTATAATTTCCTAGTTGAATCTGAAAAATTAAGGTTAACCCATTAAAACGTAAGGTAACCTAAATAGCTTAAATTTATCTTCGAGTGTTAAATAGTATCATCCTGAACTCAGATACTTGATCGCCGACTATGATTTTCTCTGGACTTTATAACATATAAAATACCTCATCATTATGTCTTGTCATATGAAAGACTGAAACTGGAATACTGTAAATATCAGTAAGTGATGAATAAATACATGGTTACGGATAATAAATCCCAGATTACTCATATCAAATTAGTTGTACATACTTCATGTAGAGTCATATAATAGAAGTGTAAACACTAAACATTGTGGAAGAGCGCTCTAGTTAATTTTTTTAATTTACTGTCGCTAAGAAAACCATATAAATTTTGTGTAATTCTGAAATGTTTACACCCAATATCTGGTTCTTTAAACTCGATGGTTTGTAATGATAATTCTATCTTAGAATTAACGAATTTAATGATTAGGAAACCGAAGCATACTTTCACATCGACCTCTACTTTCAGATTATTTTGCTTAGTTTAACGACAGCTTCTGTCATAGACAGTTATCAACTAAAGGACCAATAAAGATTAAACTATTACTTATCCTAGATTTATACGTTATTTGTGTTTGATTAAAGTTAAAACCTTCGGGTTTCAAGTTAGGTATAAACCCAATAGATTACTAAGTAGAAATTGTATAATCCACATTTTTATCTTCACTTAACTCATAATGATTCATGACAATCATTCACCTCTATCTGTGATCTCTATTTTACCCTGATTATGATTAAATTCAATTGGACACAGTCTCTTACTGTAACTTCGATAGTTTCCAATCATAATTAATCACAATGTTTTTTTTTATTTAGATAAGTGATGTGTGAAAATTTCAGTTCAGTTTAAAAATAATTATTTGTCACAGAATATTATCATCTCGATAACTGTCAAAATTACATTTGCTAACTGACTGTCTTTATATTCATTAAATTAAAGTATGTCAGGAAGACTTTGCTAAATTGTCATGAACAAAAATGTTTTAAATGAATGAACAATACAAAGAAATACAAAACGATTGATTATTTTTCTTTATTTAAACTATACCAAATTTATGCAACTGTATTTCGAATAGTAATGAAAATATAATGAAATTGGAAAAAAAACTATGATCAAACAAGTGGTTAAATTTACATTACCTAGAAATCATTTACTTACCCAGAATCTTGGAAAACTGATAATGTTAACCCTGAAACAATTGACGGTAGTTCAACGCTTCCTGACATAAGTTCATCCTGAAGAAAATAAAACATTAATACTTTATGTACACAAATTTAATTGACCCAAATTAGATTTTTTTTTAAAACTGCAGCAAAGCTATCCAATAATGTCATTTCTATATTCTTTATATACATGGAATAGGAGCACTTTATGGTACAAATTGTTTTTTTTATTAAGTACATGTTTACAATAACAAAGGAGTTTCGTAAATGTTTGTGCAAACAATAATTAATTTCATTATTTTCTAGTGGATGTTATGACTGCAGACTAAGTTTTTATCAAATATATAATATCCTAAATGGTTAATGATGGTTACCACAATACATAAAGTATGGATTCAATGAATTAGTATGAACTCACTTATAACGAATTCATAAACATATATTTTAAATTAATATTAACGTACATAAAACTTCATTTTATGCTTCGTCACAGTTCATTTAAACAGTTATCTACAAATACAGTCATTTTCATGTTGTTTGTTTATTATAATCCTTTATAAAAACTAAAGAACGTTAAAATTATGACATCGGTAAGAATTCAGGGACCGTTTCTTGAAGGTTATGAATTCACGAATTTAACAATATTTTATAAAATTTAACTTATTTTCCATACAAGTTTAATACAACAGATTCGTGTTTTCAGCTTTCAGTCACACTTTCAGTGTATTAGGACTATTGGTACCACCTGTCTGTTTAAGGCAAAATAAGTTAAGTCGAATCTGAACCTCCAATCAAATAGTTTACGTCATTTTGCTTCGATCGTTACAACAATCTTCCTGATCGTCTAGATAAAGAAAAACTTAAACAGTATTTGATTAAGCAAACTCATACTTAAGCATTGTTTTATTCTAACAAAATTTAGGGAGAAAACTAAACGACCACTAATCAGCCTCAAGGATTATAGTAAAGTATGGTATAATATTTATGCTTATAATTTCAACCTGAGACATATGACACAAAAATTTGTTAATGTCTGTCTATTAATGTCATAGATTCATTCATGTGGATTTTAGTAAGATACAAATCATTCAATATTGTCATACCATGGATTACACTTATTTACGTTAAAGTCAAGTCGTTTATTGCTAAAAAAACAGTAAAACTCCCTGTACATTAAGTATTTGTCATAGTATTCAATAAGATTTACGACGGATTCATATTATATTCATGAATTCCAGGAAGGACCATGATTTCCAAGCATTTATATGAGATCACTTGACCAAACAGGTTTCATTAGAGTAATGATTATCTATGTTGGGATATTCAGAAAAATATCCCAACAATTATCCTGTTAAGTCTAATGGTGTCCTTGGACTTTAAATGGACATTTCCTATTAGTAAATATTTATTTCACTTGTCAAATATTGTTTTCTATTTTATGGTACGATGTGGTCTGTTTGATTGGTATATAAACAGAGTATGTCTGAAATATAATGATTCATATCGCTGAGGCTGAGACTTGCGTTCTGGACTCAGCTGGCTGGGCTAGACGGGGAAGCGGACCAATCAGAGCCCTAGGTCGTTCTTACGTGTCTTACGCGTCTTTGAATCGATCGATAATTCGCTAACCTCAAATCTGCAGCATCTCACGTTACAAAAATCTAATACTTGATTAAATAAAACTATCAGTTTACGCAGCATGAATAAATGGAAGGCGAAAACCTCGTGTTTTTCTACTTACATGCACAACTCTTTTCTCAAAATGTGTTAAATGTGTGGCACTACTACCTTCATTTTCAAGATCCACACCGTCTAAACTCGGGCAGTTGAAATGACTTCTGGCAAATTTCTAAAGCAAAACGAAGTATGTTTCGATGAGGTCATAAACAGATCTAAGGCAGAAAACAATTTAAAATGTGTAAGCACTGGATGACTATATCTTCCCAATATGGACCTCCTCAACAGTGCTCATTAACGATCCCATCACTGGAGGTCGAACCTATGACTTTCTGTCCAGCACACAATGGCTTGAACGCTAGACCAGTGGATTGAAAGTATAATTTCGACCAATCTATTATATCACGTGACCATCTACTGTTGCTTTTGGTGTGTACCCTCCTCACACTCCACACGGTTAAACTCTACTGACCATGGCTTGTCAGCAAAACCCCAGGATTCCGCTCTAGTGGACGTCCTTCCAGTGCTTCCAGGTTTTCATCTGTTACCCAACTTTGATGGACTCGTGATCTCAGTAAAATTCAGTAATCTGCACAATTCTGATACTGACATATGTGTATCTTATTCGAATTGGAATGGCTTCATTATCAAGAGTAAATATTAAAATCAGCTATTGACTACACAAGGTGTTTCTGGGGATTCATTGTTGTTTCGTGTGGACTCACCAACATCCTGAGTTTAATCATTTAAATGACTGTTTTCATCATAAAATGATACTAGCTAAAGCATCAGTGAACATAAAACGACTATCTCGGAATTTCATCCCTACGAACTCATGACTGCATACGAGATCAAAATCATGACCTTTAAACTGCTACACTAGTATTATAAGTTTAATTTAGTCGTTTAATGATCTCATATCCTCCATACGACCTGTAGCTCTTAGGTTTTATTTCATGTAACGTGATAAAACTGTACTACTGCAAAATGACAAACTTTAATACAGGTTAGTATTTGTCCGTATATATTTTCATAGTTTTAACTAATATCCCGAGTGAGGGGTCGTGGATGTGAACTTCTGAAGAGTCCCATACTAGAACGAAACTGACGTCCAGTGCTTCCAGATTTTCAGCAGTGATCTAGCTTAGACCAACTTATGAATTTGACTGTGAGAATACTAAAAACTCCGCGAATCCCCATAATGATAATATCTAATAGTCATTTTACATCAGAATGTCATTTTTATATATATGATTACCAATAAATACTGAGAAAAGACGACAAAAATTGAGGGCAAATAACATACCAAAACGTTTGGAAGAACAAAGGCTCCTATTTTCCGTGTCAAAGAAACCTTTGTGGATTTCCAAGTGCGAGTGACTTCCTTAACGACATCGTTACTGAATTAAAGAAAATAATATTTACAAGATGTTGGCTCCCTATTGTTATAAATAATTAAGTGATATGTTACTTAACGAATTGGTTCTTTTAATTTTAGGCTATTCAAAGAAATTTCAGTATAAATTGTGACAAGAACCATTATTCTTAAAGTTATGGTATTTTTCTACGACCTTTGTTGGTGTATGTACATGCTGTATTATTTACCTCAATATAGCAATTTTATTGCCAGTTCCATAAAATAGATGAATTGTGGTTAGAAGTGGAATTCAGGACTCCTGTTTCATCTTTTCCGAGACTTGTCAACTGGATGCACCTGCATCCTGGTGTCGATGCTCCCATTGGGACCCTAACCCAGTATCTTTCACTTCAGACGTCCAACGCGTCACCATTGAGCTTATAAGTCCCTATATCGACTAATTTATTTAAGAAACATGATGGCTTCATCGGTATTAGCAAGGGCTCGAGTTATTGTAATGTTCATATTCAGGGTAAAAAGATTAATCAGAAATTCAATCCCTAACAGCTCACTGATGGAGTTATAAACAAGAATAAGAATAACGTTTTGTTCTCCCTTTCGGGATCAGCTAGCAATTCAAAATATCTAAAAATTTGACAAAATAATCTAACTCAGATTGAAAAACACTTTTTCTTTACTACCATAGTTTTACAATAGTTCATAGCTAAAGGCGCCTTAAGAATTCTAGCAAAGTATCTTCTAAGACGCTGCTCACTATATAAATGGTCTTTCGGCATTGCCACTAAATTTTGCTTAGGTTAGCAAAAGCTAATAATTTGTTTTTTGTTTATTTATTAATGACCGTAAATTGTATCGCTATATAGGTACCACAAATGCTAAATCCACATCTTTGATGAGATAAGAATATATATATATATATATATATATATATATATATATATATATATATATATATATATATATATATTACTAACGTATTGTTTTATTTGTCTCACTGCATGTGTATGTAACTGATGCTGATTGAAAGTTGAACCAAACTACTAGTTGGGAAACTAATCGATTTTAAAACCATATATTACTTTTTAACAGAATGTGCAATCCATCGAGATTTATTCATAAATATCGAAAACTGATTGTTAGTTTAAATGAATGACTTTCTGTATTGATGCCCCGAAATATAATCTTTTTTTAACGTTTAGTAAAGTCAGCTCTGTCATTTATGGAACAGACTTTATCAAGACATTGAAAAATCGATAACTTAGTTAACACAAGTTAATCTAAGGATTTTTTAAAATGTTTTTTAAGAGTTGAAATTTACTCATTGGAATCACTAATTATCGTCAATGACTTACCTAGGAGCAAATATTCCAAACTCATCCCTCGGAGTACTTGGCATTCCTGTAACAGGATCACGTTGCGTTCGTGGTCTGCCATGCTCGTCACGATAAAAAGCGTAAAGATTTCTGTTAAACCCCTAAATATGAAAGGAATGTTGGATCGTTTATCTCATTCATTTTATACATTCGGTTAGTTGCGAAAGTGGGACGTTAAAAAGAATATTTGGAAATTAGTAATAAAAAAATAATTTCATTACTATTGAATATTTTACGCAGTTGTTTCATTTCATTTGAAGCACCTTTGAAATTATCTGGAATCAAACCGAGAAAACTTGAATCTATTAGGAAAAATATCACTTCTGAGTCCAAATCAAATAATTCTACGTTTCACTTTGGATTTTTGGTCTGTTGTCCATATGGTTTAAGGTTTGTTAACTAATCTCGCATCCAGAAGATTCCTTTTAGAAATTTACACATTAGGAAACTTCAAAAAAACTGGTGAAAACCCAATGAACTTCATTAATTTACAATAAGCAAATAAATTTGTCTGTGTAATTGTGTTTATTGAGAATATACTCCAAATAATTCGACTGAAAATCTTATAATGATACTCTAAGTACCTTCGTAAATAATCTGAAATGAAGTTGTTTGAATAGGAATCATTTTTTTTCATTTTTAAACGCTTCGGTAGATAGTAATAATAATAGAAATAATAAAGTAACGCATCACAACAACAATTAAATTTGTATAAATGTGAGATTTATACAGTGAATAATAGTAGTAAAGAGTTGATCTGATGACAACAGCATCTGTATATGCAAAACGACTTTAAATTTAGAATAAGTACTTAATTTCACTTAAACATTCATGTAGAATAATAGGGTTGGTAGGTTACCGTAACAAACCACAGAATTATTCCTATGAAAATATATTCATGGCTTCTATAAATCATATTCACAAAGTATATGAAATTATCGTATTTACCATCAAAGACATATTTGGGAATTTCAGTAAGGAAAAGGAGCTTAATAAATTCTTTATTCAGCAAAGTATCCAGAGATACAAAAGTAAATTATCTAATTTCATTGATTACTGAATAATAATTTCAACGGTTGAAACCATGAGTCAATTGAAGCTAGACCACCACGTAAAACCTGGAAGCACTGAACGGGCGTTCCGTCCTAGTATGGGACTCCTCAGCAGCGCGCATTCACGATCCCGCCCCCCGCGAGATTCGAACCCAGGACCTATCAGTCTTGTGCGCGAGCACTTAACCATTAGGCCACGGAGCAAGGACACGCACCGCTGAGGAGTCCCATAGTAGGACGAAACGGCCGTCCAGTGCTTCCAGGTTTTCCATGGTGGTCTAGCTTCAATTGACTCATGATTTCAACTATTTAAATTACTAAAATCTCCACAAAACTCCTAACACTTAATAATAATTAATATCATACCAACTAGGCATCAACGTTGAAAGGACCAATTTTTTTTATAGTTACACTAATACTGAGTTAAATAACTTGACAGTGAAGTAAATTTTGTTTTCAAAGTTAGATATGACTGAGGGGAAACTGCTCAATCTACTAATTGTATCTGAAGTTCAGGAGTACTGAATAGTTAATACACAAATCAACAAGCCCTGAATACATTTTAAATAAAAATGATTTTTATATTTTATATACAAACTATTAGTTAAAAGATCAATTTTATTTGTAATCACCAATTTGACACGTAATTATAACAATACTGAACTGTGTAAATTCTTGGGAGGGAAAATTCTTTTCAATCACAGAAAAAATAAGGCTCTACTGAATTAAAGAATAAATGAATATATCGCTGGAAAATTCTCATTATATTAAAATACTATTATATAAACGAAGAATTTTCTTTTCAATAGTTTCTATTCAGGGTCCAAATTAACAATCCATAAAATTGGTCAGATTTAAGGTAAGGTACATCATTTAAAATTGTAACATGTGAATCAAGGATTGTTTGTCATATCAAATCAAATCATTAATGTTTGGGTGACTGATATGAAGTGTTAACTTGAATCAGTTTATAAGTGAAATGAAATTGTGAGACAAATGATTAGAGTAAATATGGTCAACACGAGGTAAGAGAGAGAATATACGTTACAAGCAATTAGCTTGTAGTAAAGTGTATAGATGTTAAATGTTTAAACGAGTTATTTATTTCAACAACGGTATGTTAATCAACTTCGCTTTTAAAATCGTACTCAAAAAACAATAAATTTTACTCATTCATAATAGTTAATCTTAACATTTACATCTGATCAGTTGATAACTAATAAGTCTAATAGCAACTCATCTTTTTTCAAGATTCTATGGCAGAATGTTTAATTTAAGAGAGATTGATATTCTGTATATAAGTGAAAAACATAGAGGTTTTGGCTACATAAATCTTCCTGATGAAAGTGAATGACCGCAAAAATTTAGCTATACAGTTATCTCCAAACTATGTTTAAGCAAAGAACACATGTTTATAACTAGCAATTTACAAAATATGTTTATATATAGGAATGTGGTGCATTAGAATAAGGGCTACTTTGATTGAAAGTTTATCGAATTTGTGTATTAGAAAGAGGTGGACACAACACAACTTACTAATGCATGTCCCATTTCATGAATTGCTGTATACAGTAACACTTTACTCATTGGATAATTTTCATCCAAACGATTTGGACAGAAATTAATGAATCCAAGAATTGGCCTGTTGTTAGAATATTACCATAAAAGTATTGACGAAAAAATCTAGATTGTAATTAGTTATGAAAGACTAAAATCAATGATATATATGACTTCATGATTATGATTTATTATTATTTGGGAAAATGTGATCATTTGGTAGGAATTAAAATGATAAACCTGTGTGGAGAATAGTTGTTTTACTAATGACTGTTTAAATCTCTATACTTCCGGTTTTATCAATGTCCTTTACAACTATTCTAGAGAAGAAATACCTTATAACGAACTCATTTTTATATATTTTTATGCTTTGCAGAATGTGAAAAGCTGAACATATATGCTTGATCAAGACCGATCGAACTGTTCTTTATATGTTAACTTGATATTTCAAGAATTAATTCACTTCACATTCAAACTATAGCTGATTACTATAAAAACCTCTCAAACCTGGAAAATCAAGATACTCAACCCTCATAAACTGAAAGTGGTTGTTAAGCTATAGTTCAATGTTTCGAGGATTTTCTTCATTTATACCAAAGAGATCAAGAACATTTATATGAATCTTGTATAATTCAACTTATCTCAAATGATTCAGAGTAAATATAAACTCGTTGTATATTTTACAAGATCGCCAGTATTTGCTTGACTCAATATATCATTTGATGTGGAGATTAATCGTAAATATAACTACATTCTTTTGTAAATCAAAGCTATAATAATCAGATCATGATCCTTAACGATACTGTTTATTTTACCTTAGTCACAATTACTGTATTCAGTATCAAGTTCAGTTTATACCGGTTTACGAAAACAATGTATTTCTAGTTTCAAATAAAAGTGGTGATATATATATATATATATATATATATATATATAAAATGTTTTTTTACCTATCAGTATTTCCTTCCAACTGACAAGCGTTTGCATAAGCTAACAACCAATTATCATTACATAAACCACCTGGCGATGCGTCAACTATCATTAAATATCCATCGCCTGGTATACCGGAACCATCAGATCCAGTAGTTCCATATCGTGTTCTACATGCCTTTATTAGAAAAATAATAATAAACAGTAAATTGATTGTTATTATAGAAAACAAGAAATCATTTCACTAATCAAAATAAGTGGTATCCGAAATAAATTGATATTCTTTGTAAGTAGTTGACTATTAGTAATTGCTATATATTAACCTTTTGTAGTTTTTGTTAACTCTAATTCGACTGATTTTCTCTTACACTTTGATCTGAAGAAATAATATAAAAGTTTACGTTGATACATTGATGAGTGGCGTTAATTTTGAAATTGAAATTTATGCCAAAATATAATTTCCTTGAATTTGGTTGCTGTTTTGTTCGCTTTTGAAAAGTGATAAAGACAATTATATTTTCACTTGGTATTGTTTTGCTTGAATATTCCGATTAACGTTTAAGATTGCAATTGATCAGTCTTTTATTGGCAATATGTGGTCTTGGGTTCGAGTCCAAGAGTAAACAACAACTCATCCAGCTGAAGAGTCTCAAATAGGACGAATTGCGCGTCTTGAATTCCACTGCTAGCCACTATCCATCTTTGCTTACAATCATATTTTGTTTAGTGAACATTTAATTAACATGCAATAGTACAAGTGATCATTGTTTATAACAAATGAAAATGATAAATTCATGTAACTGATTAGTTTCACCATAATTTTTCATATAACTTCATTTCAAGTAAATAATTACTGTATGATAAAGAGTTAAGACCAGTCAAATTTTTTGCTAAGATGTTTGAATGGATACTTTGTAAAATTTGGAATTATTTTTCACTGCAAATTGATAATAATTGGAAAATACTAGGAAGTACAGGATAACTGTATTTTCCTAGTTTATAACTCATTTGAATCTGATTGTATCAAAAATAACCTAAGGTTAAGGTGAAAACCTCAGAGTTTGAAGGACATTGTACTCATTGAATGGCTAGAAGATCCTTATTTTCATCCCTTGTTGGATTAAAATTTCATATTATTTGTAAGTCACAAACTCGTATTAAATATTTTCCAAAAAGTTCTGTGGTTTGACAAAGGGTTCTGTTTATGAGTAGAACTACTTCCAAATACTTTTTTATTTATGAGTAATATACATCCTGAATACAGTTTTTTTAATGGTGAAATGAACATTAAAATTTTGCTTTAATTAACTATAATACAGTAGTCATTAGATTCACGTTTTCACTGGCTTTTCCTCGAAAATTTTATTCCTTAATCTTAAGAAACATTCATGTTATTACTAAATGTCTAATGATAGGATGATAGTGATTGTGAATCGTTAGAAACTGCTTTATTCTTCGTTTACAGTTTTCTATGTCATAGACCAAAATGGAGATTTGTAGAATTCTTCGGTCTTATTATTGATTACATTTGAAGTCTGATTTCTATTTTTTTATATAATTCACGAAAAGAGGTGTATAGTTTTATATACTGTTACGTACATACTCACAGACTTACTTGTAAAAAGTTCTCAGGTACTTGCATTGTATGACATTTAGCTGACGGATGACAAGCATGTTCGCAAACTGTGTCAAGCGATCGATTTTTGGAGGGAAAGAACCAAAGTCTATCATCTATACAATCTCTATATTTATTGTAAATTGGTATAAAACAGAAAGAACCATGTATTAATTAACAAAGATTAAACGTTGTCATAGATAAAGTTGTAATTTCTAAGAATTTCAGAAATTTCCCTCGTGTTTGATTGATTTTCTATATTTTTTGTGGCCTATATTGGTTTATTCCTATAACTTCTCACTGGCTGGTCACAATAAATTGAGGTGGATTTAATAGTTTTCAAAGGATTAGTAGACAGGATTGCACCAATAAAAAAACATTTGGTTGATTGAAGAACTGAATGAGTGAATGAACTTCTATTTAGTCTGCTTTAATAAATAGATAAGGATCAAAAAACTTATCTTATTCAGCAAGATTAACAAAAATCAATTTTTAAGTCTATAGTTGAAACTCTTTTTTGGACAGCACTGTTAACATTCAAACCAATGTATATTGGCTACACATCTTGTGTGATACAAAACTGCATCACGGCGTGTTCAAAACAAAATCATTTGAGAATAAATCAAATATATGTGATTTTTTATAAAATCTCGCAATGAAAATAAATAAAACAGTATTCATAGTAAACAATTTTTTACATGATATTAATTAAATTCCAAATTATTATGCTGTCTCTATCAACTTACCTTCTGATTAGTAGGTTTCTGTTCGATGGCCGTTTAACACTGAGAGCATTTTGCCAGAAGTATAATGCTTTATCAACTATCTCATTCTAAAATAAAGAATATGGAGATTTCATTATAATAAATAAACGTCAGTATTTCTTTTTTATTTATTCAGATTGGCGAGATTATAATTTATGGGCGAACCAATTAAATTTAAGATAGCAGATCTTTGATTTTGGCGCTCAGTTCTTTCATCCACTTGGCTAAATACCATTTTAGCATTATAGGTGATACCAGTTTGTAATAAAAACATGAAATCTAATTCTAAACCCCAACATTCAACCGTAAATCCGAATTTAAATTCCTCACACTAATATATAACCCTCATTTAACCCTTGTAAGTAGGTGGACGTCCTAAGGTCATTTTGACGTTGACGAAAAGTCGTCCATAAATTATAGTATCACCATTCAGACTTTTTCCACTTTAGTATATTATATCGAGGAATATATTCGCTAGATTTCAACTCTAAAGAACTAATTTTTGTGGTAGTTCAAAGATCTCAAAGCGTTTAATTTGTTTACTCTTCCGATTTCCTTTGATATTACGGCGAAAGATCGTAATTTTCAGTTATGATTGACCGATCTCCAGGCTGAAATCAACCTAAGTAAAAAACTTAAGCACTTTACATTGATTGCAATTCTAATCGTTTCACTTCTCGGAAGATTTTACAATTAAAATGTTTATTTTCGGGGTGAATTTGCATCTTCGAACAAGTATTTTCATTTATGAATTTCTGTGGGATAGAGTTCTGATCTTAACTTGTTGATAAAGATGTATAGCCAGTATGGAATTACACGGTAAAAATGACTCTTCATTCCAACCGATTAGTGAAACACAACACAGTTTTATTCATTTCATTGATAAATTAACGTTAACTCTGAGGACTACATAAATAGATGCGAATTCCACTAATACATAATATGTAATACATATTTATTTACCAATTGCATTTATTCAGCTCTTTAATCAAAATGTTTACTAACCTCTAAGTTAAGTATTAAAACAAAAAAAAGAAGAGAACTATACATCTCAATTATCAATTAATAAGATAAACAAAACATGTAATTTCTTTTCACCTTTAAAAATTTAGATTTTGGACTATTGTTAAAATTTGAAGCAAACAATGGTACGATATTTAAGCGTTGATTATTTATTTGACGTGTTTGTATACCTTTTGTAAAACTTCCATGAGTCTAATCATTGTAAAATAAAAAAATTAAAAGAAATAATTTGAAAACGTACAATTTTCTCCATTGATTGTAATTTACAAATATGTTTACATTTTACTGAAATAATAAAATAGTAGAAAAGTATAAAATGAATAAATGATTGAATGGTTATTCTTATTATCATTTTCAATGTTAATATTAGTTCTATTAATATGAACTGAGAAAAAAAACATTTACTACTGATTGTTCATGTATATATATACATCAAAATTTGAATAACCTTTGAGTTTATTGGTTAGTTTACATTAGGGAATTTTGTCATGAATTAAGTTTATGAACTAGCAAGCACTTTTATTTTTTGTAGATTTCAAATAAATTATAATTATTATTACTAATACATTATATGTTATTGTTCTTTAATATCAATGGTTAAGATCATGAGTCAGTTGAAGGTAGACCACCATGGAAAACCTGTAAGCACTGGACGGCCGTTTCGTCCTATTGAGGGACTCCTCAGCAGTGAGCATCCACGACCTCGCCCCCTGCGAGGTTCGAACCCAGGACCTAATGGCTTTACAAGCGAGCACTTAACCACTAGACCACTGAGCCGGCTGGCATCCAACGGTGTTAATGTCTAACTTCAACTAATCCACGAAATTGAGCGACACATCCACCATTGTCTTCAGTGAGTTCTTTAATAATTAATGAGATTATAAGCAAAGATGAATAGTGGTTAACAGTAGAATCCAGATTGATGCACGTATTGTCTTATTTGGTACTTGTCAGCTGGATATACTTGTATGTCCGAGTTGATGTTCACTCTGGGACTAGAATCCAGTACTGTTTACTTCAAACGCTATTGCGTTATTTACTGAGTCTACTGAGTTCTGATAGCCAAACATATACCAATAAGAGATTGATCAATTGCAGTCCTAAACATCAATAAGAAGATTCAAGTAAACAATATAGTTATATATATAATTATATGTATGTTTTAGAAAATTGTGTTAGCGAAAATTTTTGTCAAGTCACTATTTCTAACGAAATTACTGAAAATGTTAATTAGATTTCTTGGCTTTTTAATATATTTCCAAGTATTGTTTAATTCGTAATAAAAAGCATCTTCAAATCTAATTATCCAAACAAGTTTTCTACTTTAAGAATAGTTATCCATCAATAGGATGATTATTATATTAACTTACAATTCATATCCACTCTATGGATTATGAAAATATTCATTTATTTTATGTTAGAACAAACTTTATAGACAAAGCAAGAATCATTGAATGACGTAGCTAAATGCTCACAGTTAATTTAATGTTTAAAAGCTCTAAAGGTTAGGAGCTTCGGCTAGCTAACAGATGAAGTCTGGTGTCTGTATATAGAAGAAATATGTCCTATCTTTGAGTCACTTTGTATTTATTATTATCAATTCATAATTTTTTTATTTTTATTCCTTATACGTTTTTCTCTAAAGAGTTTGAAACTCCAAGAATTAATGGAACTACTAAGATTAGTAAAATCGCAAATGTGCTTATTTTTACAACTGTTTATAATCAGTAGAAAAGCTACTCAAGTCAGTCCTAAAGTAGGAATTTCAAATTGGTGCATCAAAGTAAGAAAAAAACGAAAATTTAAAAATGTATGTGCTTCGTTAGCATTTCCGTATATCGACAGTCTACAGAAGCTAATAAATTTAGAGGAAAATTAAAGGGTAAAATGGTTTAGTGTATATTTGTATCGTGGTTAGCATTGTGGTACAGAACACATGTTTCATCCCGTTCTCGATTCATCAGCTGTATGTACCGGCATCAAAGTGTTGATATCCATAGGGTCACTAACTTATGAAGATAATAGAATGGTATTAAGAAAGGTTTGTGATTTCTTATCGCTGATATTCAGGACTTCAGCTGATCAGTCTCTGTTCAACATGCACATTATGAATAGATCTCCATGACACATTGTTCGTCACAAGATTTTAGTATATAGTTTGGCTGTGGTTCGCAGTAAAATCTAGCACTCAGGTTTTGCCCTTGAATGTGACTTCACACCTGTTGAACAAGTTGACGTCTGCTTGGGTTCTGTAGATCGGTGGATCGTGCACTGACATTGGAAGCGATACACACCATGTTATAATCTCAGCGCGAATATTAACACTGTGATGCCGGTACATACAAATGATGAATCGAGAACGGGATGAAATATGTGTTCTGTACTACACTGCTAACCACAACTCAAATATCTGCTGAAAACTAGTGACGGAAAATTTCAGGATGCTCATATTGGGACAGAAACTGATAAAATCTAAACCTGAATATCAGTTGCGGGAAATTACAGACACTTGTAAAACTGATTTAGGTTTGAAATAACATCTTGTTAGTTTTCCTGACAACTATCGAGTTGGGTATGATGTTTGAGTTGCCGGTTCAAAAAGCTAGGTTAAAACTTTTGAGAAGATTAGAATTCATTTATTTTTGACTAGGTTCTATTCATACAAATCATAAAGGAAAAAGAAAACATTCTATAAACATTATCTATCAAGTTATGAAGTTTTAACTTAACGAATCATTGGTAGGAGGCTATGAAATCTGTGTGATAGTTCTCTTTGCCCCTCAGTTTTTAACAGTCGTTTTCTTTATAATGATAGGAGTCACATAAACTGTTTTCATGCTGACAATGCTTCTGGGTTCGTGTCTCCTCCTCAGTAACGATTGGGATTTAAACCATGTCACTGACTTCCCGAGATTATTGCTTGAATCATGCATTTAGGGAATTTTTAGACTTCGTTCCCAAAAATCCTGTATGTTTTTTGGCAGTTATCATTCCTAATTATCACACGACAGGCCTTAAACCCATAAAACTTTCAACTTCAGCTAGTCTAAACACAAGTGAATGTTGACTAAACAGACCTTTTAATTTAGAGATGCTGGATTGGATCCATTATCAAGTATATTGTCACGTCATTTCTATCTAATTTACAAAGTGTAACATGTGTTTCAAGTGAATTGTCCTATAAATAGCACTGTTTTGTGAAATTTTAGAAAGCTGAAAGAATATATTTAGGACGCTTAACTGCACTTTTAAAATTATTTCTCTATGTTTCAGGATTGAACTTGTATAATTTCATTCAGTTTGATCGCTTTCATCACGAGTTTTGTAAACTTTGAAAAAG